TCCCATCCGTACTTGTTTATTTCTGCTTTGTTTCCGCTGTATATTATATAATTGTACAGGTTTATGTGGTAGTCTGGTCTAGCCTCGTCACTACTTCACCGAGGTTAGGCTAGGCACTTACCAGCACATGGGGTCGGTTGTGCTGATACTACACTCTGTGCTCTTTTGAACAGATCCAGGTTCCGGAGTAGCATTTGGTCATCAGCAGTAGATTGGGAGCTATCCTTCAGTCCGATACTCCGAGGTAGCCCTGTTGGCGTTCGCAGGCCCGGCGTCTCCTCTTTCAGTTTTTACGTTCTGTTGTCATTTCTACTCGAGACAGACTATGTTCTTTTCTTTCAAACACTTATTTGTAGAAATCTTAGACGGTCCGTGAAAGTTGTGACACCAGTCCTGGGTAGAGGCATATGTGTATTTTCCTCATTATTTTGGTTTACTCAATTTAAGTCTTCCGCTAAATTATGAATTCCGCTGTTGTTTTATTATTTATCTCTTGTTAGTTTAATTGGTAAACATAGATTTAAAACAAAAGTATTATGGATTCTAAATGTGTGTCTTGCCTAGCTTCTACGAGTAGGCGCCATCACGACACCCGAGGGTGGAAAATTCGGGTCGTGACATGTTTTGAGTATGAGCTTTTCAGAGGAAAATAGAACTTTTCTGAGAATTGCTGATGAAAAATGTGTATGAAAATCTGTGTGGTCCCTCAATCAGAATGAGAGGACCTACCTATATATAGGCTGCCTAGGGGAGGGTATCTTTTAGGCATATTCCTTATCCTAGGGAATAATAGTACAGTCCTTTTAAACAGCCCTTGGTATAGCTGTCCTGCAATCCAGCACATTTTTAACAGTTGGGACAGTTGTACCCTTTTCTAGGATATTTCTGAATTTCAGCTTAAGTAGATAACCCTTTTTACCCCTTAGGTTACTACTTATTTCAGGTTCTAACTTTTTAAATTCAAATAAACACCTAAGGTTCCCTTAATTTTCAAATCAAACTAGAAAGCATCAGAAAAACCAAATTAATGCTGAAACAAAACATGCCGATTTCACTCTATCTTAAAACTAACCAATTGACCAATTGCTTATTTAATTAACCCTAAAAGACACTAAAACCAAACTGGACTGATAACAGAAACCTAATTAATCTAATTTATGCTTTCATCAATTAGACAACACATGGAAACATGAAAGAAGAAAAAGAAATCAAACAAACAGTTTATAATCCTAATTTTAGCCCTACTTAACCTAGAGCAATCAGAATTAATTACCATGCTCAGCATGCTTCACATGAAACCAATTCATAATAAACCCTAGATTAACAGGGAATCAAACCAAACTAAAAGCTAAATGAACGATGCATCCAGAACATGAATGAAACTGCTAATTACCCTACAAATTAGGTTGACTCTGAACTAAACCAAATTAACAAACCAAATGTAACTTTGAACAAATAAACCGGAATGATTCTGAAAACAAACTAATGTGCCCTAGAACAAAATTACTAACTAAACAATCCAAAGAGCAATCAATTTTTTACAAAACTAAAAATCAAGCTGTGAAGAAACTGACTCGAAAATTGAAAAAGAAAGAAGGGGAAAAGAAAGAAGAAAGAAAAGGTGAAAACGGATGACAGAAGCATACCATGGTGACTGGAAGAAACAATCGACAGAAACCCTTGAATTTCGTCTTCGCCTTGACCAACAGAGGTCTTTTCTTTCAATAGATCCGGCCTTGCATGGCTTTGACTGGATCTCCATGAAAGAAAGGACTTCTGGGAGCCTTAACTTTGGAGGAAAAAGAAGCAGGGGAGCTTTGGGGTCGATTTGGGGGAAGATTAGGGTTTTTAGGTCTGACTCTTAGATCTGAAATTCACACAATCCGGCGAGGATTCTGGACAAACTGATCGAGGATCTAAGATGAGGAGGGAAAGGGAAGTATGGGGTGTTAATATGGTGAGGTTTGGAGGATTTAGGGTTTTCAGCCGGATTTTCAATCTAAGATTCGAACAGCTTGGGCTTGATTCGAAGGAAGGGGAGTGAAGATTTGGAATGGGGAGGTGCAGGGGAGTTCGTGGTATCATTTTGGGAACGATTGGACCACCGGAACCGCCGTGAGGCGATTTTCGGTGGAGGCGGCGATGGAAAGCAAAGGCGGCTAGGGTTTCTTTTGGTTAGAGAGACTGAGTGAGAATGCGGGGTCCGATGGGGGGGTAGGTCTGGGTTAGGACAGTTATATGTATTTTGGGTAGGGAGTTGCGAGCCGTTAGATCAAGGAAATCCAACGGCTGGGATTAACGGGTGATGAAACGGGGTCGTTTGAGGTTTAGACGGGGCTGGACCGGGTATAATTGGTTTGGGCTTGAGTTTTGGACGGGTTTTTTTGGACTGGTTTGGGTCGAATTTTAGGGTCTTTGGTGAATTAGCCCAATTCCGAAAATCCCTTTTAATTCCTTTTTTTTTATTTTTTTAATTAAAAATCCTAATAATTAAAAATCCTAATTTATCTAAAATATGAAATTAAACTATTTAACAAATTATAAATATTACAAACATCACTTAATTCTAAATTGAAAGAGAAAAATCAATAAACTAAGAATTAAAAGACAAAAAATGCAAAATGAGCTATTTTTGTGATTTTCAAATTTTTATAAAACAAATAATTACTTATTAATTCTAAAAGTGTAAAAACAAATCCTAAATGCAATGTATGATATTTTTGGTATTTTTCGTGATTTAAATAAATTAAACATGCACAAAAAAATACAAATAATTAAGAAAATTCTACAGAAATTCCTAAAGTGGCAAATATTTAACAAAAACCTATTTTTCTTGGGATTTTATAGGAGCAATTTATATAGGGCAAAAATCACGTGCTCACAGATGATGCTAGAGAATCATATTTAAATTGTGTGAATTATATTTTTATATAAATTCTCTTTCAAACAGAAAACATATTAAACAAAAGGAGTATTTTAAAAAAAATATCAAATATTATATTAAAATTCTTTCAAGATTCATTACTCCTTAAGAGAAACATATAACATTTCGTATCGAATACATTACTTTTGATGTTTGAGTTGTAACGACGTTGCAACTAATTTGCATATTATGATATGTGTCATACTTTTCGTATTATTCATAGTTGAATTATAATTTATAAATATTTTAAATAGATTACTTTTTATAATTTTGTATTTTTAATGTAATTTTTATAATTATTTTTTATTTTATACTATCTTAAAATTCTTGAAATTAGTAAAATTTAAAGATCCGTGGGACTTACGCCCCATATCTCAGGGCTTACGCCTCGCCTTGTCGGAGGTAAACGCCTCGCCTCACGCCCCCTCCTCTTAAAACATTGGTTTCAGATATTTGAAGGGGAAAAATAAAACAGTTGTGATTTAACGTCGAATCACGTTTAATGTCTTTTGAAATTTTTAACATGAGCTTGCGGATTGCGGTTACTACCTCTTGTTTCACATATTTGAAAAATACAACACTCGTGATATTGTTAAACGTCGAATCATACCTTTTGACTCATTAACATGAACTTGAGGTTGCTAATAAAAGGAGTCAAAATCTGGTGTACACACACAATACAAATGATCAAATAGTGAGTGGTTAAATCATGTAATACACATTTAGCGTAGAAAAATAAACATTATAAATTGTCTTGGAACCCCTTTCTTAATTTACATACCTAATTAGAGGTAAGCAAAAAACTAGCTATCACATGAGGAGTGTGTATCTCACTTTCCCAAAAATCAAATGGAGGGGAAAGCGGTTCTAGCCGTGATAGCATTCTTAATTCTTTTTATAACAGCATCGTCTATAGCTGAGAATTTTTTCGAATGCACAAGTAATTGCCTCAACGAGATGAAAACTGCTGATTGTGTTTTGAACCCTCCAATGTGTCTTTCCACTTGTGCTGCAAAATGCACTTCATTTGCACTTTCTTCTTCCCCAAAAACTGATCACGATTGTAATGTTGGGTGTGCTTTACACCAATGCAGGAAATTCATGACCATTACTATTGAAAAAAAAGAATTTCATAACTATACAAATTGCTATTCATTACGTTTTAAAGCAGATAAAGAGAATCTTGGAAAATGCATGACTAGTTGCAGTGAGGAGCATTGCGCAACTAAGGCACCAGCTATGGAACTATAGGCTGAAGTCTGAACACTGACTTGGTGTGATATTATGTTTTTTTCTTTTCTTCTAGGTGATCTTATGTTATTTTAGTTCATTAATTTCTAGCAATGTTACTTCAACTTTGTAGTTGTGTTATTATTCTTCTATTTGCAAAAGGAACAACATGATCGGCACTTCGATTAGCCTATTAACATACTCCCTCTGTTCGCTTTTACTTGTCCAGTATATTAAAAATATATTTTTACTTTTATTTGTCCATTATAGCTTTTTTTCCTGTTTTACCTTTATAATTAACTACTCATTCCCAAATTAATTTCAAAACTTTTGGAAATACTTTCATTATTATATGCAGAATTATAAAATACATATTTCATTTATTGTTTCTTAAGGGGGAAAAAGTCCAAAGTAAATAACTAAAAGTTAACGGAGGGAGTATAATAGACCGTCCGGCAATTCCGCATGTATAATAAGAGATGTTGGTGATACTACAATTTCACCACCTCACAACATTGTAAGAAGAAAGTTAAAAAGATAAAGCTAGGCGCCATAATTAGATTATGAAATTACTTTAATTTACATTACCATACTATTTTAGATTAAGTAATTAGGTGAAAAAATTGGATTATCTTTATAACTTATTATCATTATCAAAATTACGTAACTTTTAAAACATAGTTGGTCAACTGAAAACGAAATAAGCAACATGCTCTAATATTTGCTATAAAAAAAAAATATAAAAAAAAGCAACATGCTCTAATATCATTACTCTGTTAAATCTAATTTACCAGGGTAAGTTTTTGCCATTTACTAGTACTCCATAGAGTAAATTTTTTTGTTTATTTTTCCAGCTGAATCCAGAGATAGTTATTACTATCAGCATAATCTTGAATCACAGATCAGAAGGGAATAATTCCATTTCACACATAGCATCATTCCCTCATCAAAATCTTCTCCTACTTTTATCTTCTGTTCAATCAAACCTGTTTACTTCAACAAATCCAATCTTCTTTCTCAAACCCTAAATCCATAGCAAAAATCAAGAATCTCGACAATTTCGAAGAAAATGGCAAAAACAGATGAAATTCACACCATTTCCTTATCATTCACTGATTTCCCAGAAGATGTGCAGCTCTGTATCCTCTCATTTCTCACCCCTTTAGATATCTCCAATTTCGCCTGCACTTCAAAGCGCTTCGTCTCTCTTTGCCGTGATGACCCAAGACTCTGGTTTTCCATGTGTCACCGCAAATGGGGATCCAAAACCCATATTAACAAATGGGTTAGTAACGGTAAATTCTCATATAAGCTTCTTTACAATACCCTTTTAGAGTATGAGAATCTCATTGGCTTCTGGCGCCTCAGTGGTGCTGATTCTGATACTGATTCCCCTTTAATCTTTTTTGAGTGGGGTCCATTTTATATAGCTGGTTCAAGGGTCAAACCCGCAAGAAATTGTACTTATGGAGTGATAAAGTCGCCATTTTTATGGATGGGTTTTAACTCTAAGGGTGAAGTTGTCAATTATCTCGATCCTGAAGGGAGGGTTGAGTTGTTATCTGAAAATGTGATGAATTTTGATGATTTGGGTTTTGGGGAGAGTGAATTGATTCAGGTGAATGTGAATTTCATGGGAAAAACTCATGTTGTTCTGGAAGAAAATTGTGGCAGTGCACTTGGGTATTCTGGTAATTCTCCACAGAATAGAGGAGGATTCAGGAAAGTTTCAAGCTCAGGGAACATGAGGGGAGAGGAGTATGAGGATTTATGTGGGTCCCCTGGAAGCTTGCCAGATAGGTTGATGTCCGAGATTTATCAGTATTTCGCCAACAAGACGAGTCCCGGTGGGAACGGGTCATCGAGGAGGCAGAGAAGGAAGGAGAAGGAAAGACAGGGGAAAAGGAAGTGGGAGCCTGAACATTATGTGAAAATCGTGAATTGCTCGCCTACACCAGCCAGGCCTTTACAGGGCTTGTGGAAGGTCTTGTTCTGCTTCTTTCTGTTTATATATTATGGCAAAACTTGATCTTTATCAGCAGTTCCTTTTTTTTCCCCATTAAAATTTGGCCTTTGGTTTGTTATTAATGACTTGCATAAGTATAAGTAAAGCATCAAACTTTATAGAGATAACTAGCTAGCAGGTTAAGGTGTAACCAAAGGCTGACTGAGTAAGTATAAGCAAAAGTAAGTAAAGAGGAAAACTTTGTAGTATTGACTAGGTAGAGCCTTGATTTATCATAAGATGTAATCGCTTGTGTTGGTTAACCGGGTAATATTCATGTACATATTCTAAGTGTCGAATTGATCATAAAGTACTTTTAGTCTTCAGTTAAGTGTAAGGGCATGATGTATAGGACTAATACTAGAAGTGCATTGAATATTAGCATTTGAAAGCCTAGCTGCAAACCGATAGGGTAACTGTGCTTCAAACCCCCTAAGCTTTAATAAACATAGCTCTAGATCTATAACATTATGATGCCTCTAACCATTAAGTACGTGAAGGACTGATTTCTGACTCGTTTTACCAGAAACCTTATTGTGTTTTCTGATAATGACCTGAAGGTATGGTGATTACTAGTGATATGTTTGTGGTTCTTCTGTTAACCAGTTTATTCCTTTCAGTAAGAAGCACCATTTGACCTTGTTACTAATGATGCCTTGTTACCATAAGAAATTCAAGTACCTCAGACTGAAACCTGAAGGGTAACTTCTACTTTTGAAACCCAAATGATTTGAGTAATAATTTCTCAACCAATACATATATCTGGACTTGTACATTTGAATTAAATGCTGGTTTTGCTTGAAGGTTTAAGTGTCCTACTGTCTCTACTGAGGAATTTTTCAGCTGTAGGGCTTTCTGTATCCCTTCTTGTCCTTACCCTAATGATATATAACTGTTTATTGGGCGTTAGTTTATTTATGGTGTATGCTATTACATCATCCCATCATCCTCATGGTTAACTTCCATTGAGTTATGATCAACTGCATGAATCTCAGGGGATTCAGTTTGCCAGTTTGAACATGCAGTGTACTTCCCTTTTGCTGAATGGTAACATCTGGACATGCTTAACTGCAAAAAGCCTGCTTATCTGATGTTTTGGTTTTACTTTTCACTGCAGGGATTCTGTGATGACATGACTTTGGAGTTCTTCCTTGTCTCTTATGATGATGTTGGTGGTATCGCTTGCAGAAGGGTTGTGGAATTATGTAAACCTTTCTCTGCCTATGCCCTAGTATTTTGGACTTCAAATACCACGTTCATTGAGTCGCCTTTATCTTCAGAAGAAGAAAACATATATGAGAGTCGTATACATATTCGGCCCCTTGCTGAAGCTGATGACCCATGTGAGATTCTGCCTAGTTCTGACAAAGGAGTAGTTTTGCGCATGCTTTGCATGAACTCAAGCTACGACTTGGTTATTCCTGATTTGGCAGGAAGCACTGTAAATTCTAGGCAGGCGGAGGGAAGGATTTGGCAGTATGAAAATGGGACATTTGGATATGGGTTTCTGCGAGACAATTACATTATAGACTTGAAGCATATTGCTCAAAATGGTCAGATGTTTGACACAGCAGATATTTCTAGTGATTGATCTTGCTGCATACATTAGTCAGACAAACAGAAGTGCAGAAGGAAATTTCCTATTTATATTCTTTGTACATATTAGTTGGTTCTTGATGCCGGCAAGATTCTGGCTTTGTTGTAACATTTCGCGACAATAAAAAATTGATTTCAATGTAAACTAGGTATTTTCAAGCTTCCTTTTCTTTGAATGGATAGAACTCTTTTCCTACTCTTCATAATTTCCCTTTTGAACTCTTTCAGTTTCATTTTCGCATGTCAAGGGTGTAAAGATGCTTAGCTGATTACTTCATCTATCATATTGAAGCTTTGACATACTCATTCATCAGCATTTAAAGTTTTTATCGCACGTGTGGCATTTTACATCTTTATTCCCTTCCCCACAGTGCTGATTGTAATTTGTGGTTAGCTACTGGCAACCTCTGTCCCATGACTCTCACCAAATATTCATATATCTCTTAAGGACTTTCTGAATTGAATGGCTGGTGAGTTTTCTAATTCTTCACAAAACTTGTGTTTTTGTTTCTATATCTGAAGTTTTGTTTTAGCCTCTTGTTCCAATTTTTTGCCTTTTCTTTTACCAAACAGTTTTGCTTTTCTCCACCTGTCAAGTCTCCAGAGTGCTAATGGTGTAATGTATAGCTATCCATCAAATTATCAGGTAGGGGAAAGGATGAAAGGTGGATGACGGAATGATTCTACAAGCAGGGTGCAAAATACAACGTAAATGGAGAAACTTGGTATGGTTGTTGAAATTTTTTATTTATTTTTTATTTTTTTAGTTTATTTTTCAGTTAATAACTATTTGTTCTGTTTTACTAGCAGGTAGACCATTCTAGCCTTGATATACTGGCGATGGAGAAGTGACAGCTTTAATAGTTTCTGCAAGGCCTTGGGTTGAATTATTAGTGTCTATGCTGTTGAGGTAGTCTCTTCTTGCCCTGATAATGGGAAACTTAATACAAAGAATTCCATCTCTAGTTTGGGGTTGGGAAGAATGCTATGCAACATCAAAACCGTGTTATATTCAATCTCATTCAACATTCACACGATACAAGTGAAGCATAAGAAACAAAGGTCAATCTACACACAGAAGTAGACAATATATAGTTCAGCATCAAAGTAATGGAAGCAGATGAGAGAAAACATTGGCTGCGGAAGGAAGACATGATTGCGGAAAGCTGAGGAGTAAGCGACTTGGTTGGCTGTTTATGACTCTGCTGTAACTTGTGTTGTTGTCGCGGAATTCAGCTCATGGTCACCCTCAAGCTTGCTCAAGTTGCCTTTCTCCTTGATAAGTTGAATATGGTGATGTTTACAGTAGAGGCGCCCCTCATGTGCGATATAGTTAGAAGGGCTAATTACACAACCCCCATGGCTACATTTGAAGCAGATCTTGTGGTATGGCGTACCATTAACTGATACCTATTCCCACAATCATTAATATGTGTTGCACAACATTAGCATAAAAAACAGTGCTAAACTGTGAACTTTTGGTTTATGTAACAAAAAGATTGCTAATTGCTGATGTTACCTTTTCTGTTGGGTAGACAGTTTTCTTGCAGCCAAAACATTTCTCTCTTGTTCCACCAAACATGCTTGTCACTTTAGCTACCTGTGGTTTCTGTTTCAAAGATTGAAATAGCATTTACTAAGGGAAGTGTAATATTCTGTGTCAGTTACTTGTGGTTACTGTTTCAAAAAATCAACTTGATCATTCATTGTCAATTACCTCACTGTCAATGGGTTTCTGTGGTTTCACAATTTTTGGTGTACCTGTAATATTTTGAATAGTCAATAAAATTTCTGTTTTGCAAATGTTATTTGTAATTATCCATGCTATCCTCTACCTTCAAAGCTTTTATCCAAACTGCCAGTTTGTTTGAAGAGCTGATCAAAGTGTGGTCTACAGTATAGAACTCCCTCAAAGGAATTGTAGTTGCCAAGCTGCCAATTGAAGAACACTAATTAGTATCTAAGCTCCAATGCATTGAACAATGTACAGTTGCATCTCCAGAGTGGATATGACACATAAGTTGGTATTATTGAATTAAAAAACTCAAATCTACTTCATTCGACTCTGAACAAGTCACACAAACCTATCCTGAGACCATTTTACATGGTTATATCATATTACTATTTGCATGAGATAATCCTGATGATTGCTGAATTTTGCAATCTAAGTTGAAAATGAACAACCTTTGTATAGATAGGAAAGAGAGGAAGAAAACTACTTTAAGCTGAACAAAAAATTCTTATGCCAGGTAGATGAAACTCTGTAAAATGGCTATGGGATTGCCATGACAGACAAAATAGAATCTATAAGTAAGAATTACATGAGAAAACTGTAGTGTTTTTCTGTTCCAAGCTTGGAAAAGATTTTAATAGGGCAGTCCGGTGCACCAAGCTCCTGCTATCCGCGGGGTTCCGAAAAAGGCCGGACCACAAGGGTCAGTTGTATACAGCCTTACCCTGCATTTCTGCAAGAGGTTGTTTCCACGGCTCAAACCCGTGACCTCCTGGTCATATGGCGGCAACTTTACCGGTTACGCCAAGACTCCCGTTCTTGAAAAAGATTTTAATGGAAAGGAAAATATATTAGGAATTCTACCTTGAGAGTGCCCTTGCAGTGATGGCATCTGAAACAAGCTTTGTGATAAATTCTGTTATCTGCAGTTAATTTGTCAACCAGATAAACAGTTTTGTCACATGCCATGCACTTCTGTGTGGTTCCTGCAAATGCCATGGCTATATATGAGCAAGCTTTACAGAAAACAAAAATAGTCTTCCCCTTTCTTTCTTGGTTTTCTGCAGCAAGAGAACACTTGGTTTTGGGTTTTGGAGAAAGACACCTAGAGAGAATGATGTTAAGATAAGGATGAGAAGCCAGAGAGAATATGATGATGAGGCTGAGAACAGCAATTTAACTAATTAGAGAAACAGACATTTTATCATTTGGCCCCCAGTATACAGCACCTAACAACTCTGCAGACTTTTTCCTTTTCTTTTTCTCCAATATTTTTATCATTTTTTAGAGCTTCTTATCTCTAATTATACCTTCTTTTTGAAACTACAGGAAGGAAGAAAGTTGAGGTTAAAAGAAAAAAGAATTAACCTAAATAGCCGTCTATCTAATCTCTTAAATTGAAAATAGCCGGTGTATGTATAATATATATATAATTTAATCAATATATAATATCTATGTATACCGGCTAGAAAAAAATAAATATTAAATCTGACCAGCCAAATCCACTATTTGTTTTTTCTAGCCGGTATACTTAAATTATATATTGATTATATGTTATACAAATAGCTGGCCAGATTCACTATTTATTTTTACTAGCCGGTATATACAGAATATATATACACATATTATACATGAATTATACATATATAGTATACATACGCCGCCTATTTTTAGTTTAAGAAGTTAGACGGGCGATTGTTTCGTATAATTTAGAAATATATTTATCTTAGTAAAAACCTTCATTGATAAATGCAAATCATCGGTTATGAAAAAAATCAGTAAAAATAAATGAATGAAAGAAGTGATTGTTCCTTGCATAGACATCAAAGTTCACATGGTTGTTGGAGCCCAGTTTGGTAGAATGAGACCTTTTTTAGTTGCCACATGAATCATCATAATACACTCTCATGAAGTGTGAATCTGCTGTCATTGCAATTATGCACTGTTATATTACCAAGTCTTGTCATTTTATTTTATTTTTTGAATTATTTGGTGGACCATATTCTTATCAACAACCTAAAAGAAAGTTATCATATTATATACACAGTTGTGCTAGACATGATTTTGCAGATTCAATTTCCAATATCAGGGAGGCACATGGCATAATCATATTATTGGTCTGTCAATGCCAGCACTGTTTTCTTTTTCAGAAGGAGAGTAGACAGGAAGTAAATAGCTGTAAAGATTTTGGGATATGCATGGGAGTTTGAAATTTCACCAGTAATAACCTGTTATCATTGTTAGTGTTTGAGATAAAACATTTCTCTTTCTTATTTAACTTGATTTTCATTCCTCCGACTAATTCGAATTCCAACCAAGTTTGCACGCTATAGGAGTAAGAGTTCTCTGTCAAGAAGTTCTCTATTCCTGGGATTCGCCCGAAACCTCTAGTTATGAGTGGAAAATTTCAATCATCCCACCACACCCCTTAGCCGTAGAATATTCAAAAATAGAAATTTATCGGTTATGAAACAATTGTCCAACTTTGTATTATTTATTCAGTTAGTGAAGTGTTAGTTAAGAGAAAATTTAAGAAAGAGATAAATGGTATAGTTTAAACAAATATTTTAAGAGAGATATAAAGCTCTATAAGTGTGCAAAAATTATAAAAGACAAATAACGTTGACAGAAGATATATAGTATCATACTAGTATGTGAATGTGATCAGTGAAACATATAACAATGACATTTGTCGTGTGACAATCATGTAGGGTTATCCATCGGTGAAACGTTGTTCATTAATATCAATTTTGAGCATTTCCACAATATTTCCTTTTAATGTTATAATAAGTCTAATCCCCAGTGTCAAATTCTTAGTACTAATGGAGAAAGACAGAATTCCAAAAACGTTGAGAAGTCGATGTCCCTTAGAAATACCATTATTACAAGACCTATCTGACTCATGGACGGATCGGATCCATTGTTCTGTCGATCCTAATGTTTACCAAAATTTTACCCTTCAGTGTAATAGAGTAGTCTAATAGCAAAAATGGCACGAGGTCAGCTTCTACGGCCAAGTAAATCTTAGATGTTTATTGAAATGACAAAAAAAAGTGAATATTGGGATATTAAGGTAGGATAAGACCCACCTTAAATCTTCTTTTTAAGTTATCTATACTGCTCTTCTCTCAACTGCTCTCGATATTCGAAAGCGAAAAACAAATTGCTTGCTATGGCCGAAAGAAGGTTCTGTTTATTTTTATTCAAGCAAGGAAAATGTGAGACGCTAGTTGATATGTATAGAAAGAAAAAAATTATTAGAACTCTCGTCCGCATCTCTCTACGCTTTGTAGCTGAACTTTCCCTCGCTACTGAGCTATAGAGCATCAAACAAGGGCTAAAACTAGGAACAACAAAAACACAAAAATGTTCTTGATACAAAGTGATATTGATAAACCATGTTCTGTTGTAGACAAAATCATTAGTCAACAAATGGTAATTGACATTTAACAAATGTAAAACAAATGTAGTAGTAATAAGTAAGTACTAAGACGACTCATTCAAGGGCCATTAACCATAGTAGTATGTGAAGTGTAATTGAGATAACATTGAATAGCAAAAGCCCTTTTTTGTTGTGGTGGGAACAGAACAAGGATTCCTCCTCGAGAGATGACTTTTGATAGCTGAAACTTATCCCACATCGGAAGCAAGTGACGAAGCGAACAGCTTGGCGCCCCTACTTAACGATGGCACCAATCTTCCCAACAATTCTTATTCCAAATATTTTATGCTGAAGAAAATCTAGCATAAAATTATTACAATTTTGTGCAGAGTTATTTATTTTGGCAATGAATACACTTGCGTAATTGCCTTGACAGTCTCGAGATTTTAGAGTAGTCCCCAAAATCTTAAAAATGATATATACATCTTAATTTTACGTGCGATTATTTGAATCTATCAAATATGTTGTTCAAACTAGTTTAAGATCTTAAAAATGAGCTTAGAATTAGGCAATTTTTATAATTCCATTTAACCAAACTACTAGCGTTGGACAATGTGTATTATTTTTAATACCTAGTAATTAATATTATGTATTAGATGTTATATGCACATATTTCTCATGTTCATCTAAAAAAATTCATTTAACATTTTATACTTAACTTTATTTTAAATTAAAATATTATCTATTAATTACACATGTGCAAAAAAAAACATTATGTTGGAGTTACATTGGAATTACATTATGCCTGACAAGTAGGTCATTGTACTTACTATACTATATAATTACTAGACTATAAAATCATTAGAGAGTAGTTATACACCCTGATATTATATAATAATTTTCAAGCACACCTAAAAATTAATATTGATTTGTCCCTTTCCTCTTATTATTCTATATATTTTAGAATCATATACTAGGAACTTGCCTATCTCTTAAATCTTAATACCCACTTGTTCGTCAAACGACGAAGCTAGGAAGGGTAACATGATTCAATGTCAAAATAGCACGGTATAGCCAGTTTTTGGACTGGTCATTCAAAAATAGTCAGCGTTTACCAAGTCAATAAAAAATAGCCACTATTTTGCTGCAGCAGAGACCGGTCCAGCATAATATACCGGAGTTCGGTGCACCTGTGTATGAACTCCAGCATATTATGCTGCACGGTATACTTTGCCGGTGCTCCAAACTCCAGTATATTATGCTTTACCGGTATACTTGCTGGTAGGGGTGTACATGGACCGGGTTGGTTCGGTTTTTATTAAAACCAAACCAAACCAACTATATCAGGTTGGATTGGTTCGGTTTTGTCGAGTTTCTCGGGTTTTCCGGGTTTTTTTGTTACGTGAATATTGTTTTAATCTTACTTTGTTAAAATTTTTATAAGTAAAAATATGTTTAGTAAAAATTAAAAAACTTGACAAACATATGATCTGTTTAAATATTTTTATGGTAGTATTTTGTTGATAACACATGATAGTTATTTTTTTAATCCTCTGACAATAATTTTTCGTTGATGTATACTTATAAGATTAAACAAATTTAATAATTAAACATAAAAATCAACATGATACCTAATTAATGATAAGTTCTATTTAATTTTAGATTACCAAAATACCACTTCAAATTTGAAAGAAAAAATATAAGAATTTAATAAATCTTGATATATGAACAAGGAAGAACAAAGAAATTGACGTATTTCAGTAACACTTGATAAGAAAGTGATCATATAACCCATCATTTAAGGTTAGTAAAAATGGAGTACTTCATATTCTATTAAATATTAGATTCCATAAGAGAATCCCAAATATTTCTAGAATTTTTACAAAGAAAATTCTATATAAAGTCTTAAAAGTATATATTTATATGTCGGTTTGGTTCGAGTTTTTTTACTCAATACCAAACCAAATCAAACCAAACCTAGTCGGGTTTTTTAATCGGTTTGGTTTGACTTTTCGGTTTGGTGCGGTTTTCCGGTTCGGTTTGTACACCCCTACTTGCTGGAACTCCAGTATATTATGCTGGAGTCTAGTGTACTTATGCTGGAATTCCATCATATTATGCTGGAGTTCCAGCATACTTATCTTGGAACTCCAGTATAATATGCTGGAGTTCAAGTATACTTATGCTGGAACTCCAGCATAATATACTGGCGTATTTTTCCGGGTTTTGAACACTATTTTCGCTCAGATTTATCTTTACATGAAAAATGACTAAATTTCGATTACTTTTGAAATCGAGGTTATTTTTGAACGACCTAAATATGGCTATTTTTGAATTTCTCCCTGATTCAATGGTATGCTAATCTTCTGTTTGGTATGAACATGAAGGTTAATCCATCTATTTTCGGTTGACTATCGCCGCAACTTTTTAATTTGTATATAATTTAATATGTTTGCTAATTTAATAAAAGATATATTATAATATCAAACAGTATTTAAAAATATCAATATATATACACAATTGCAGTAAAGAAAATCCATAAATATTATTATACCTCTGAAAATAAAATAAAAGAGGAGCATAAATCCCAAGCCTAATTAGGGTTATTTCCCCTAAAAAGATTTCTTCTCGTAAATTACTGTTTTCTTAAAACCTACCTCAGGCAGCTGGGGTTTTAGTAGTTGTATTTTCCATAGAAGAACAGAGGCAAACCTTATTTCCTTTTTCTCTTTGCTTCTCACATCTCAGAACTACACAGCGGAGGAACTTGAGGGGAAAATCTAAAACTAAGAAGAATGGTG